TGAGAGGTTCAGTTACCACGAGCAGCTCCGAAGAGTATCCCAATTAAGGTCAAACCGGTATTCTACTATGGCGACGGCGACGATGATGGACTTACACGCAGAGGCCAAAGTCACGTTCTGCCATACGAGCAGCATTTTAAACGGTTATTGTAGTGCCACCAGTGAATGACCAGCCAGGAACGCTAAGCGCACCAGGTAGCTTCTGTGGGGTGGATTGGTCTGGGCTTGGCTGAACATCGCTGGTTGGCTGGACTGGACGGCGGCCTCGAAAGAACAGCCCAAGTGAATGGAGTGAAGGCGGACAAGGGCTGGCGCAAAAGTTAGGGCTCCGCTGCACTAGCGGCCCGTGCACGGTCCAATTCCACACCACTCCCACAAAATTTTGGGGTGGTCCAATTTCTCTGGCGATACTTCTTGATTTTGTTTTCGCGGTAGTGAACTTTTTCCCACTCGACCATCAACAACCCGGGTACTTGGGATCATCAGCAGTCATGTCTCACCGTAGTAAGTAACGCCTCATTGTCGTCGCCCTCGTCGATACAGCCAGAGATACGGTCATTTTGTCGATTTATCACACAACGCAATCCACGAATTCGAAAGAAGCGATGGGAGCAAAGCTTTTTCCATCCGAGAGACGGTCGTCGCGATAAACCGAAATTTTCGAAATTTTTTTCGGCGACTCGATTTTGGAGTGCAGCAGCAATGCGTGATCGCGATCTGGACCTCAATGGCAACAACAACAACAACTTGAACGTCCTTTTGATGCTGACTCGATTGCTTCAGAGTACGAGGCTCCCCGCCACGGTTCGCTGGCCTACCTTCCCCGCAAGCGCGCGGCCCGCCACAGGGGAAAGGTCAAGTCGTAAGTTCAAGCTTCATCTTCTGTCACCGTCGGCGACACTATCGCCAGCAGTTTTGGATCTTTGCGATTGGAACTTGGAGGCAATAGGGTGTTGCGAACAGAGAGGCTGACCAGTTGCGCGTCCATCATGACAGGTTCCCTAAGGATGACCCCAAGAAGCCCGTCCACCTCACCGCCGCCATGGGCTACAAGGCTGGCATGACCACCATCGTCCGCGACCTCGACCGCCCCGGCGCCAAGGCTCACAAGAAGGAGGTCGTTGAGGCTGTGACCATCATTGATACCCCTCCTGTACGTACAACGCAGCCCGCTTGGCTCTTTTTGTGTCAATGGCTAACATCTCTCGCAGATGATCGTTGTGGGTCTGGTTGGCGTAAGTCTTTGATCCTGTCCAGCTGCCGGTGAACGGCCTAGCACGACCTGTTGTATATCTAACCCCGATACTAGTACATCGAGACTCCCCGCGGTCTCCGCTCCCTCACCACCGTCTGGGCTGAGCACTTGTCCGACGAGGTCAAGCGCCGCTTCTACAAGAACTGGTACAAGTCCAAGAAGAAGGCCTTCACCAAGTACGTCAAGAAGCACTCCGAGAACTCCGGTGCCGCCATCACCCGCGAGCTCGAGCGCATCAAGAAGTACTGCACCGTCGTCCGTGTTCTTGCCCACACCCAGATCCGCAAGACTCCCCTCAAGCAGAAGAAGGCCCACCTTATGGAGATCCAGATCAACGGTGGCTCCGTCGCCGACAAGGTCGAGTTCGGCCACGGCCTCTTCGAGAAGCCCGTCTCCATCGACTCCATCTTCGAGAAGGACGAGGTCATCGACGTCATTGCCGTCACCAAGGGTCACGGTTTCACCGGTGTCACTGCTCGTTGGGGCACCAAGAAGCTTCCTCGCAAGACTCACAAGGGTCTCCGCAAGGTCGCTTGTATCGGTGCTTGGCATCCTTCCCACGTCCAGTGGACTGTTGCCCGCGCTGGTCAGGCTGGTTACCACCACCGTACCTCGGTCAACCACAAGATCTACCGCATTGGCAAGGGCGATGCTGAGGACTCTGCCGCCACTGAGGTCGATGTCACCAAGAAGAAGATCACCCCGTATGTATCCCCCGATTTGCGCCCTAAAAGACTGCCAAAACTAACTCCTTTCCAGCATGGGTGGCTTCGTCCGCTATGGCGAGATCAACAACGACTTCGTCATGGTCAAGGGCTCCGTTCCCGGTGTCAAGAAGAGAGTCATGACTCTCCGCAAGTCCATGTTCATCCACACCTCCCGCAAGGCCCTCGAGAAGGTCGAGCTCAAGTGGATCGACACCTCCTCGGAGTTCGGTCATGGTGCTTTCCAGACCCCTGCCGAGAAGAAGCAGTACCAGGGTACCCTCAAGAAGGATCTCGCTGCCAGCTCTTAAATTATTGGCTGCTGCGGTTGATTTCCTTGTTGGTCGGGTTGCATTGGTGTCAAGGTTTTTTCGTTGCTCTTTCGGGTCAAGGTCGGGAAATGGGACTTTATACCTTAGCATTTACGGCTTAATAAAAAGCTGTTGAAGAACAATGAAACGTTGATCCCACTGTACTGTCAAGAGTATTTTGCTTCACTGCTTGTGATATGTGTGTTCTATGAATGTTCGAAGATCTTTTGTGTTGCATACGGATTCGATGGGCTCTTGGTTCTTATGGCTTGTGACTAGAGAAGCCGTGCTTAGGCTGTCTGGGTGTCGGACTCCTGGGCTCTCGACGAGAACGTCTTTGACTAATAGGTCTATGATACACTGGTTAATATGGCGGATACTCGTGTGTGTGAAGAGAGCATCTGTTGCCTCTCTGCTGTGAGAGAACATCTCGTTTGCCTTGGCCGTTTTGCTTCCCTTCTTGTGACGAAGCTCTCATTCCCTCGATGAGAGTACACACTACTTGACGTGATTTTTGTCCTCCTCACCTGTCTCCGTTTGCTTCTTACAGTTGTCCTTTATCGTGGTCTGCTTGAAGTCGTGCCTGTATATACGGGTGTTGTTGAATGGAATCTCCGGATATCAAAGCCTGATCGACCTCTCACTCATCCAACTCACTGATTGGTTCAAGCTACCCCACCTCTAACCGAAGGTCAGATCCACCATTCCTAATTGGTTTTCAGCTACTGCAGGTTACATCATCGGGACCCTTCTTCGTTCGTTCGTTCGTCCACAGCATCCCACCAAGACACAGCCCACCTGACTACAGTGATTGTCGTTGTCGTCCCATCCGCGCATTCCTTCGAACAATCACAGAACATGGTCTGGACTCCCTGACATCTTTCATTCTTGTTTTCTGGCTGCTCTTCCTCCGAACACCAACGAACTTCTCGACGAACAACAAAGCTAATACGCACATCTTACTCGAACACCAGACGCCCACAGCTTCAGCTCTCTCCCGATCAACCACAACGACACTTCTCCGTTTAAACCGGCCAGCTTCACGTCTCCTCGCCCTTCCACTCTCGCGCCACATCACCACCGTCACGAAACCTCGCTTGCCCACCACCTCCCCCACCAACCCTCCAACCCGCACTCTATCAACAACCCCCAAAATGGCCTCCGACGACGCCTACCTCTCCTTCCTCAACAAAGCCAACGAGGACCCCTCCGTCGGCTACCCTCGCGACCGGCCCGACCCGGCTACCCAAAAGGTTGGCGGAAACGGGTTCAAGACTCGCGATGAGGGGGTTGAGCTGCCTGGACCGATTGCGAAGGCGTTGGACAAGGGTGATAAATTCTATGTTAGCGATGCGGATGAGCCGTTTGAGGGAGTTGCGTTGAGATATGGGAAGGGGGGGTTGCCTGATGAAGGTACGTTTTGCTCGGTATTTTTAATCGAAGGAGGTGGGTGGGTAAGGGGAGGGAAGGGGGGGAGAGGTAGAACCAGATTGGAGAGAGATGGACCAGGGGAGATTGGCAAGAGGAGGGCATGGGAGGCAGGGAATCAGGAGTGGAAAAGGCATAGAACAGCACGGATAAGAAATACATGCTAACCCGAGACATTAAATAACAGAAACCTTCGCCACCCTAATTAACCACCCCAACCCATCCGAAGCCGAGATCGAGATCTCCGACCCTGTCAACTGGGACCGTAATGGAGACTATACCGACCTGATCGACGCCGTGACGGAGGCGAGCGAGGGGAAGACCGTGATGGTTTACCGGGTTGTTAAGGACAGTGTGAGGGTGGAGTATTGGGTTGTTAGCCCGAGTCCTGATGGCAAGTTGTTGGTTGGCGTTAGGGCTCTCGCTGTTGAGAGCTAAATGAGTTCTAAGAAGGGAACTGGAGTAATAGCAGAAGATGGCGACGGAGGTTGAGGATATGGATGGGCAGAAGATGGATGTTACGATGATGATACCACGGTTGATATGAACCAATCTCCTTTCTTATTACTTTTATCTACTCTTTGCCTTTCGGTGAGAGTTGAACGGCCTGAACGTGACTGTTACTGATCCTCGCCATTCATCATCTGCGACCCGGACATACTTCGATTTAATATACCAAGGTACCGTTAGGTCTCTTATTTAGAATCTGCCCCCGCTTGTCGTAAGTCCTAGTCCAGACACTCTCCATGGTCCGCGATCTGGGTACTATACATCAACTCAGGTGCTTTTATCCGTCATTGGTAGCCACGTCGCCGTCAAGAGGAGACATCAACATAGAGCCAAGGTCGAGTAACGACATGTGCCCGAGACGCGGAGGCATATCCGACTATGTAGCTGATAGAAGCTCTATGAGCACAATTTGATGGCTTCAATGTAGCCAAGGAGATAAATGATTACGAAAATAGCCAGTGTGCGTTACACTTTCGTCTTCATGTCTTTGTCTATCAGCGATAATTCTTCTTATCCCATGATACAGTATTCTTGGAATTTTGCAGGGTGCGATATCCTCGTGGAAACTGAGGTTGTTCCATGCCCTCCATAAACAATGTTTGTAGTGTGCGTTGTTTCACCTCACTCAAGTCCAGACAGACAAGAACATAAAATAGCAGACTGAAGTTGGGACCGCATCCCATCAAGAACGAGCATGAACATTCATCCATCCGTGCGTGTTCCCACGTATCGATATCCAGTTCAGTTATAGCGTTCAACCGCCAAAAAGTAATGAAAAGAAGCAAAATCGTATGCGCAGTCCGGGGCTCGAACCCGGGCCGCTCGTTACACTGTCCACTCGCTCGAGAGATGGGAAACGAGAGTGCTAAACCACTACACTAACCGCGCTTTTTCTTGCTTGGTTTGCTTGGTGAATGACTGATCGAAAGGATCGGGTTATAAAGGGCAAGTGAGGGTCTCTCAGGGAAGGTACGGCTTGGGTGTTGGCGGTTGGTTGCTGAGTGTCCGGTGTCGGATGTGGGTTGCCGGTGGGAGGGGGAAGGAGCGAAGGAAAGAGGGCAAGACACTCGGGGATTGAAGGAGAAGGAGCAATACTGGCTGATCAAACATGAAAGACTAGTCAACCAGACATCATGTAGTAGTATCCAGAGGGCCGTGAAAGCCTACGGGGCTTGTGGAAGACAAATCTGAGTGCTCGTGAGTCGTATATCGTGAAGTGTCACGCGCTATGTACATGAACTTGGACTGGGTTGCTGCTAGCCTTCAAAACTCCCAGTCAATGCACTTCCAGGGTCACCATCAACCTGAACATAGAAAGAGAAAAGGGAAAGAAGAAGAAGAAAACGCGCACTCGGGGGTTCGAAACCAGGAAAAACGTGTTTATCTGCCATTTCCGTGAAAATGGTAAATAAACGGGTCGTGCCAAACCGCCCCTCCAACTACACATTGTTCCGTTAGAACTGATTCAAAAAGATGGAACTATGAAGGGCAAGCTAGAGAAACTAGAGAAGAGTGTATGTATGGATGGCTTGGCCAAGTTGCGCTTGTTGTTTACTAGGTGAGTGTCAGTTGTCAGCTGTGGGCAGCTGATCAAGGGAGAGGAAGAGAGGAAGAGAGGAAGAGAGGAAGAGAGGAAGAGAGGAAGAGAGGAAGAGAGGAAGAGAGGAAGAGAGGAAGAGAGGAAGAGAGGAAGAGAGGAAGAGAGGAAGAGAGGAAGAGAGGAAGAGAGGAAGAGAGGAAGAGAGGAAGAGGTCAGGATTGCAAGTGAAAAAAACATCGACTTCCGCGAAATGCCGGTCTCTGGTCTTCAAATATGAAGAATATGTAGTCTGTGGCTTCTATTTGAGCTCTCATTATCGAGTAGTGTCCATGTACGATACGCATATACCCTCGTCTGGCGCTATGCTGTTATTCACAGACCAGGACTCTTATCAGATCAAGAACTTGGTGCTAACTTCCTCCGGAATTCCGATCTCAGTTTATTCCAACTATAAAGACTTTCTGTGTCGAGAGCATGCTCATTCGTTCATTGACTTCACGCAACTTTTGGATTTGTGCGGATTATATGCCGGAACTTTCTCCATATGTCAATCCCTATACGCTTTGAATCATGCAACCTTTTTATACACCGTGACCATCTCAATGCCATTACATTAGCGAACCAGCGCAAATTACCCATGCTTTTCACTCACCCACACACTATTCATACATCACATCTCGCCTTTTGTTCACTGCCCCTTCTTATTCCTACCCACAAACGTCTTCATCGACGTATCAACCTGCGCCAACCGCCTCGCAATCTTCTGCAACCCCACCGGCAAGACATTATACCAATCAATCCACCTCGCATACAACGGCATGCCAATCTGGGTGCTCAGTCCGCCATCAATGGCCGCGATCACCTCCTTGGCCACGTCCACCGGCTCCACTACGGGCGCGAAGAAGCTGTTGGGCGTCTGCACCCCATAGAATAGCGGCGTGCTGAGCTGACCGGGAGTAACGAGGACGGTGCGGATGTTGGGATGGGTCTGGGCCAGCTCGGCGGTCAGAGAGCGGTGCAGAGCCGAAACGCCGGCCTTGGCAGCTGCGTAGTCGGATAGCTGGGCGGCGGCGACGGTGCCGATGACGGAGGAGATGGTGACGATGGTGCCGCCTGTTTCGGAGGCGGTCATGTAGGGGAGGAAGGTCTTGATGGTGTAGAAGTGGGAGAGAAGGTTGGTGGTCATGGAGCGGTCGACTTCGTCGAGGGTCATGTCGAGGATGCGCTTGCCGAGGACGATGGCGGCGTTGTTGATGAGGATTGTAGGGGTTCCGAGCTGTTGACGTCGATGTTAGCACCTGAGGAGTTAGACTAGATATAGTGGAAAAGACTTACATCTCTCTCAATCTCCTTCGCAACCTTCGCAACCTGCGCCTTGTCGGATACATCACACTTGTAGTACGTCACGCCCCTCGCCTCGCCATTATCCATCTCCTTAACATCCAGCACGGCAACGGTAGCACCGCGCATGCCATAAACCTCAGCAATTAGCAGACCCAGCCCGCTGGCACCGCCGGTGATGACAATGACCTCGTCGCTGAGGTCTACTTCGCGTGGCAGCCCATAGGCAATGCGGTTGTTAATGGTTATAAATATCCAGCTGAGGGTGATCATGGACGCCCATGCGATAGACACCAGCATTGGTGGCGCATCCCAGAACATATTCTGAGCACGGAAGCAGAGCGGGATGATCCAGGCGATAAAAGGGTGGAAGAAGCTGGTTTTGAGGACCTTGACGAGGAGGTCGATGGATAGGGGCGCGAACCAGGAGTCGCGCTGGGGCGGCATTGCGTATGGCGACGACATGTTGTCTGTCGGTATCTTGGCGGGTCGCCGGGAGTTGTTTGAGGTGTTGGTGTTTGTTTTTGTATTCGAGGACACAAATGATTGAACGGGTTGGTCTTTAAAGCTGTTGGTCGTTAGTCGTTGTACGAGGATAGCTTCGTTTCGTGCCGAGGTACAGTGACGTACGTGATATCGCGATGGTGGAGGTCGTCGTCGTTGACGTCGGCGCAACAGCAATTGAACTCCGATTAAGCTCGAGATGGGATAGAGTTCAAGTTGAGATTGAAGATCAGCAACGTGGAAACGTGAGAAGCATCATGCAGATAGCTTCTTTTGTGGGAAGAAAGATGGGATGATATCGTCCAAAAAAAAAAAAAGGCCAGCAAGGTGTCCAATTTCTTATGCCAGTCACGCCAACGCCCAGAGCTTTGAAACGCTAGAAACACACGAAGCCCAAGCGCTGGACCCCTGGCACGTTTCAACAGAGCCGCTGTGACATCCCTGCAGATCGTCCCTGCTTTGGCGAATCAGTGGCCCGAAACAGCGGACTGCCACCCCTCTTGCTTCCACTTGTGCTGAGGATGGATGACATATGGATGAGGAACTCCCGAACGTCTGGGGTCAGTAACGCCCGTTGTCATCGGTAGTGCAAGGTACCAGACTTCCGACTACTGTACAACATCCGTCACTGCAATATCGCTTGCCAACAGATCATCCTTCAGCCTTACCGAATTTCCGTATTCGACGTCCGTTAATACTTTGCGGCTGCGATAGTTACACGCGACGACATCCGCCAGCTTCCATGGCATGAACAACGATAGTCCAGCACCATGACAGACAACCCAGAAGAACCCTTGATCGCGAACTCGCAGTTGGCAGAGGGAGGAGACCGGCACGAAGACAACCATGATATCGAACACGCACACGATCCCCGGCCTGGGAAACATCACATATCACCACCAGGCCTCTTCATCTGGCTACTTACCTTTTCCGCCGGAATAAGCGGTCTACTATTTGGCTGTACGTTACCTACCTCACCCTTTCCCCAGTGTTACCACCTTGTATCCTTTCTATTATACTCATCACACACACAATGACTGACACTATCCCCCCAACCCAGACGACACAGGCGTCATCAGCGCCACCCTCGTCTCAATCGGCACCTCCCTCTCCTCGCGCCCCTTAACCTCGCTCGACAAATCCGTCATCACCTCATGTACCTCCCTCTTCGCCCTTCTCGTGCTACCATTCGCCTCCTCGCTCGCCGATGACCGCGGCCGAAAGCGCGTTGTCCTCTTCGCCGATACGCTTTTCATCATCGGCGCACTGTTACAAGCCTTCAGTCACACCGTCGAGATGATGGTCGTGGGCCGCTCGGTAGTGGGTGTGGCTATCGGTGCCGCCAGCTTTGTTACCCCGCTTTATATCGCCGAGCTAGCGCCTGCGACGCACAGAGGACGGTTGGTGACGATGAATATTGTGTTTATTACCCTGGGACAGGTGGTGGCTTACATTGTGGGGTGGGTATTTGGGACGTATGGGAGTCCGGAGACGACGGGGTGGAGGTGGATGGTTGGCCTTGGAGCTGCGCCGGCTGTTGCGCAGGTGGTTATTTTGTTGTGGATGCCGGAGAGCCCGAGGTGGTTGGTCAAAGAGGGAAGGTCGGAGGAGGCCAGGGGGGTGATTGCGAGGATTGCTGGAACGGAAAATGATGCGCAGGAGACGAGGAGGGAGGTGGATGCTATCCTCAAGAATATTGAGATTGAGGTTAGGGAGGAGGCTATGGCCACGAGATTTGACGGGGCCGGGCACGGTGGGAATGCGATGAGTGCGTGGAAGGAGGCGATGAGGGAGTTGTTTAGGGTCAGGAGGAACAGAAGGGCGTTGGCGATTGCGTGTCTGCTTCAAGGACTTCAGCAGTTGTGCGGATTTGTGAGTAATCTCGAACCATGTGATTGTGCACCCTTGTGTGATGGGGTCACTTGTGCTAACATGTTTCTTCCTAGAACTCGCTGATGTATTTCTCGGCCACGATTTTCACAATGGTTGGGTTTTCAGAGCCTACTCTGACATCGCTGGTTGTGGCAGTCACCAACTTTGCCTTTACCTTGGTTGCGCTGGTCTTGATCGACAAGGTGGGAAGAAGACGCATTCTACTATGGTCTCTCCCCTTCATGATGACAGGTCTGGTACTAGCCGGTTATGGCTTCTCATTCATTGAGCTGCCAGATTCGGAGACCAGTTCGCCCAAGACAACAGGAGCACAGGGCGGAGCCATCATCATTTTGACGAGCATCATGATTTACGTGGCCGGTTATGCCATCGGACTGGGCAACGTGCCGTGGATGCAGAGCGAGCTGTTCTCGCTGAATGTGCGTTCAGTGGGCAGTGGTGTTGCAACTGCGACCAACTGGAGCGCCAACTTTGTCATAGGGCTGACGTTCCTGCCGCTGATGGAGGCTTTGTCGCCGTCTTGGACGTTTGTTTTGTACGCCGTGATCTGCGCGGTTGGATATGGCCTGATTTCGAGGGTGTACCCTGAAACCGCAGGGCTGAGCTTGGA